TACCCACTAAGCTGCATGTAGCCAGGTGGACCCCCCTTCCTTTCCTAGAAATCCAATTGACTGTTAACTACTTGCTCCCCTCACATATAGACAAGGCTGCACAGAATCATGTGTCCTTTTTGTTTTACAGTTAAACAGATCATCCATGTTCACAGTTCTAAAATGAACTACTTTTGGACCAATTAGAAGCACAGGATTGTCATATTTATATATCGTTTGTGGCCGCTGACTGCGTTGTGTGTTCTAAGATATAATACTTTCACAATGAGTCAAGTGATATAACTTCATGATTTACCAAGCGTTAATTTTTACATGTGAAACCACTACTTTGACATTTTGATATTCATCATGTCAGATGAACTGAGCTGGGAAGACAATTTCCAGCGATAAAAAAATGAGGTGCACTTTGGGTGCCCCCCGTTGCATGTGGTGCGACATTCCATCGGATCTGGACGATGTGAAGCAATTAGCAAAAAAGGGAGGAACTTGGCAGTTACATCATTAACAGGCAATGACATGTCCTTCATTTAGAACCAAATCCCTCTGTCCCTCTTTCCTTCTCTGTTGTCCCTCTTTTTGGTCTGATGTACAAATATGAAATGGTTCTATTTAACTACTCAGTTAGCTATTTCAAAAACCCAATATAAGGATAAGTGATGGTGGAAACAATTCTGGGTTTAACCAATGATTTTTGGTGTATAAATATTTAATGGCCCGCATAACTAGGGGTATGGCAGGGGTATATCCATTGCCTAAATACAGTGTGCTGAAAGGTGTCCCTCTTTCTCATCTCAGAAATTTGGGAGGTATGCAATGATGCAAGAGCCCGCTTAAACAATCCATTCAAATTATATCCATTCAGCTAGGCCCTCCAGCTAGACAGCTGTAATTACATTTTGTGGACCGTTAAAATCTAAAACCATGAGTGTCATCAGTAAAAGAAGACTAAGCTGATTGTGCTTGTGTTCTAGCTTGAATGAAGGGTGGTCTTCTGCCACCTAGTGATACTAAGAGGCAATGTAGGCAAAAAGTGGCTATTCGAATCTCTGCACATCCAAAATATCATGACCCTGCTAGCGGGATTCTCCAGGAAATTAAACAAGCTGAACTCCTGAAATTAAACAAAAGCTACTCTGTTAGTGCCACCCCCCCCACACACACACACACCGCACTGCAAGGGTTAAATGCAAATTTTAGCCTAGGTTTAGTGAAATGAGGTGTAGGATTTGCCTTATTCTACGGTCTGGTGGGCTCCCTCCATTTGTGCAAACATTCCTTGAAGCCTATTCTCTAGTTTTCTCAAGCATTCCTGTCGAACGGTCGCACATTGATGTCATCAAGTACAATGCGGGGCCAATAGCACTGCATTGTATGTGAGGATGGCGAGGAACCACCCACAACCCAAGGCACCAATAGGAAAAGAAGAGTGCCAAAGCCTACTGGAGCAGGGAAAAAGGTAAATATTATGCCATTTTCCTCTACCCCAAGGCAAAAACAAGCATTTAACCCTAGGTGTCATCAGTGACTCGGACCTCACCTTTCTTCCCCACATCCAATCACTATCCAAATTCTGCCGCCTTCAATTCCGTAACATGTCCAAAATATGCCCCTTCCTCACCAAAGAAACCGCAAAATTACTCATCCACTCACTTGTTATGTCTCATCTTCACTATTTTAACTCTCTCTTCATTGGCCCTCCACTACACACAGGCTATCCCCCCTTCAATTTATCATGAATGCTGCTGCTAGACTCATTCACCCAACCAACCGCTCAGTGTCTGCAACCTCCCTCTGCCAATCCCTCCACTGGCTTCCAATAGCCCAAAGGATACAATTCAAAATATTAACAACCAGTTACAAAGCTATCCCCAGCTCCGCCCCTGGATATATCTCTAACCTGGTCTCAAAGTATCACCCTAACCGTCCCCTTCACTCCTTCCGAGACCTCCTGCTTTCCAGCTCCCTCGTCAACTCCTCCCATGCTCGCTTCCAGGACTTCTCTAGAGTCTCTCCCATCCTCTGGAACTCTTTACCGCAACCTGTCTGTCTATCTCCTACTCTGAGTGCCTTTAGGCGATCCCTTAAGACTCATTTCTTCAGGGAAGCCTATCCCACCTCAACCTAACCACTCAACCATCACATTCTCAAACAATTCATCCCCGCACAGCTACCTCCTCATGTATCACTTGCCCCTCCCTTTTAGATTGTAAGCCCTCAGGGGCAGAGCCCTCCTTACCATCTTGCCTTGAATTGTATTGTGATTGTAATGTCTTCCTTATATTGTAAAGCGCTGTGCAAACTGTTAGCGCTATATAAATCCTGTATAATAATAAAATGAACCCTTGCAATGTGTGTGTGTGGGAGGAGG